CCAACTGCGTTTTATCATTGTATAAATAAGTTTGAGTTGTGTGTTTGTGGACCTTGTACTTTTGGTCGCCTATGGAATACATTTCTCTATGTCTTATCAAAAGTTCTTGCTTTTGTTAGTTGGGCCTGGGACGATCGGGTTATTATGGCCTATCGTGTCGCTGAACCATTGATCTTCGTTTCGTTTACCTAGTAAGGTGAATCCGTAATAGCTGCAAGCATATCAATAATACTATCATCTCTGTTTTTAAGATCATTTAATTTAAGGTTTTAATTAGTCATAGTACATGAAAAATAATTGATTATTCACAGCTTAGTTTCTCTCCAAGTTCAGCAGATAAAAAAATCACATTTCTTGATTTGCTAGGAATATTTCTGTTTTTATTTTAAGGATATTTAGATTTCCCATATGTTAACTAAAAAGGAAACCAAGTTACAATAACAATCAGTAGTACTATAGACTATATATGATATCTATTTGTTGTCATGTTGTCACTGCAACTGTTATGTTGTGAAGTTTTCACTCAGTTTTGTACTTGCTTATAACTAGTAAAGAATTTAGTAGAGAGAAGATATACGGGAAATTGTAAGTTGATTGAACTAACATTCAAAAAAAATTATTTTTACTAGCCTTCACATATAAAATTGATGTGAAAATATTTCAAATTAGTTGAATATATTTCATTGTGCAGATATTCATCTAGGACTCCGTGTTACGTTAGTTATTAAAAGTAACGGTTAGAAAACTTTACATTTAGGCTTCACTCTGGTTACCCTAAATCAATAAAAAGTATTAGAAATAATGACATAACCGTTTCGGACCTGTATATCATGACTAAGGAAATCGAATTGATACTTTTAAATTTATTTGTGCATGATTTTTCCGAACTGGTCAATTGTGGTACAGTATACTTATGAAATCAAGGTACACTGGACAACTCATTGATCAAATTTTCATAAGGTAAATGTGATTGAATTGGATTTTGAAATATAATGAGGTACAAATTTTTCCTGGTTAATTTAAGACTGTTTTTTTTAATGAACTCCAAACACTTAACATAAAAACTGTAACTTTCAATGTCACAATCAATTTCTCCAGTGTTTTACCATTAAAAGCGATAACACACCCATGAATAAATCTATACAATTAATATTGAATAGAATAAGGTTTTTTGCATAAAATTCACAAAGAAAAATTATTTTACTGTCAGAAATTCACGAATTCATTCGCAAGATTAGAAAATAATTTATTTAAAATAAAAGATTATTTTATAGAAATGATGTACAATCAGGATGTACATATGAAATTGATATCCTTTAGTTGTCTTATGTTTAGTGTAATAATTCAAGCAACAATACGGAGACCATATGACATTTGATTAAGAAAGAAAAATGGCCTCCTTCTCTTTTGTAATCTAAATAGTTTAGTTAGCTGACAGTAGTTAAAATAAAATCAAACAGTTCATCAGCTGATACTGCACAAATACTCAATTAAATGTTCGCTGCAAGATGGAAATAATTAATTTTTATCTTTGTTTTCAAAACAAATCGAAATAACATCGGTAATCATTAGAAACCTTACATCTTTCGAAACATTTTCTTTTCATTTCTATTTAGAAAGTTCCGGTGAAATATCATAACTTTTTGATTTGAATAATTAATTCAGATTAAGCTGACAGATATTTATGAAACACATCATTTTAGGAGTTAATCCAATTTTCTGCTTGCCATACCATCCTACCGAAACGATTCTTTCAATTTTATGTCACTGCTCTTCAAAACTCGTAGTTGTATATGAAGAGTGCTTCATTCATAGTTGATAGTTCTCTAGATTACAGCATTTTCCAATGGGAATCGAATTACATCAGCCATGATAAATTAGATCCCCTATTAAACTTACACTAGACGCTTTCAGATCATATATTCAATTTGTATCTACTGACCATCGTAAAGTTTTCCAATGACAAGTGTTGACCAATATTCTGTTAGGTAACTAAAGTATCTGGTTCAAATTTTGTTTTCAAGTAGGAAGCCACCAAACATGTTCTTACAATCGAGCCAAAAAAGTATTTCCTGACTATATAGTTGTTTGAAACTAAATTCGTAGTTGAATCTTTTAAATATTTATTTTCCCAAGTTGCATTCTAACTAAATAAATAAAAAAGTGTGTTTCATATTTTCCTAAAGTAGCATACATTTTCCAATAGATATTTAAGAAAGTTCGATAATCCGTTTAACAATTCTCATTCCAATATTGTTATAAAAGAAAGAGTAATGTACAGTATTGATAGTTCGTGTTTAGGGAAACAAATCACTTGATTCATATTCATAGTTTTTAGTTTGACTATATTTTTTCCATATACTTAGTTTATGAAAGTTCTCATTTGAAAAAAAGATTATTGCAGGGATACTGTCTCCAATCTGTTTAAAATTCACATGTGAAACAACGTGATAACTGTCGGTCACCACAAATCTAATCTTACTAGGAAATGTAACATTCGACTAATATATTCACAATCGATAATGACCTTTGTTTTACTGTCATACTCTTGCTTAAAGTTAATTTTATTAAGTTACTTTTGCATTCTGGGTTTAGCATTGGTTATCTGATTACCTTTAGCAATTTTCATTTTATATCAGTTCAATCACTAGGTATAATTGTCATTTATCTGTCAGTTGTCTCCATCATGAATGTAAATATTAACTGAAAAATCCGAAAACTCTTGAAATGTACTAGGATTACATTTTCATTGTAAGGTTGATATCATCAACAGGAACTCAAAGTTTTTTAGAACAAAGTACATTTTTATGCAGTGCAGCCATTCAAATCCTAGGTTCTTCGAAAGCTGGATAACTAAGAACAAATTAATGAAGTCTTTTTTTTTAATCTTTTAATTCAGACTTAAAATGTAACGGGCTTTTTATGAAGAACAATGTTCAGTAGTGTTGTTTGTATTACTTATTAATATGCGCATCTGAAATTGAATATTGAATAGTCAGTTTATGTTGTCTTTCCCTTTTGGTTCCTACTTCATTTATGTAAATCAACCTTTCTCCTCAAATAACATTACACTAATGAAATTCCAGTGAGATAATTAATTTTTTTCCTCATCCAAAATCATTTTGTAAATAGTAAATAATATTGTAACTTTTTTACAATCTGTACTTTTTTTAAATCATTTAACTAATAATTATTTTTGTTAATTATTATTAGACAAATGCCGAAAAATGAAATAAACAACAGTGAACAAAACTTACAATGTATACCAATGTACTGTAGTTTTTCTGCCGTTCAATGTTCATTATTTTATTATCATATTTAGAATTTGTTTCTCAATGTTAACATTATTTTTGCTACAGTAGGAAAAAGCTAGTGGATAAATATTAATTAGCACAAATTTCGGCTAATGATTTTCGTCAGTTTTTACCATCAAACTGAGTTGACTAGCACTAAAATGTGCTGTAAGGAAAGTAATGTTTTAAAAATGCTAATATACTTTATCATATCTATGAAGTCTTATCTAAATGTTTTGGATAAAATGTGTGGTAAGCTAACTCAGACAGTATTTTCTTGTAACACAAGCTGTTTATCATTATTCGAATAAGAAGACAGTAAAATGTAACACAGTCCATTAGACATTCAACTTATGTAAATCAACATTTCTTAAGCATTTTGTATTATGATGGCTATCCACAATGATGTCATAAACTATATTCTTGAATAATAATGCTAAACTTTGGGTTACATATGCAGCAGTAATCGCATATTATCAATCGTTTTGAGACCAAGATCAATAATATTTTATCAAACATATTCGTTCCGATGTCTTCCTGTAAATATCTCCATAGAAATACGCAGTCAGAGTTCCAACTATTGAAGTATTAGGACAAGCTGGAATTTCAAACAGAGAATACTTATGAATGGAAATGTATAAGTCACTAGCTCTAGTTGCACAAAATATACTGAGATTTGTCAGATAAAACTCATTTACTTTAGATATAGTTCTCATATTTAAAATAATTGACTTTTAACGATTTTAGACTAAATATCTGAGAACAAAAGGAATGTCTTTATATCCAACACTTTTGTTCCTTTGAAAGACAACTTCAGGATAAATTTTTAAAACAAAGTAACACTGATAACTTTGAAGCTGTTTATTTGAATTTATCAGAAAAGAAATCTTATTTCTCCAATTCGAACAAAATCAAAGTGCAAACTGTAAATAATATTGTTGAAGTACGAATGATTGCGACATTTGGGAACATCACAGAACTCATATTTCAGGTAACGCTGAGACTGAAATCGATAGAGATATGAACATACCGAGTTAGAGTCTATTAGACATATTTTGAATTTCAAATAATAGACACTACCTAATGTACGGAAAATTATAGGTTCCATCTGAATAAATTTCGAAATATTTACCAAGGTTTTTACAGTTCACTATCTAAAGAACTTTTAAAAAGTTATCTATTCCAAAAGCGCATAGAATTTCAGGATTAATTCGACATATGTAAACTAAGACTTGGAACTTTTCATTAAGAAATGGATCAGACATCTTAGGTCGTTATATGTACATATAAACCTGTATATAAACAATTCAAATAAACCAGCATTCTAGTATCACCATGGAAAGAAACTAACTTCTCGATGTTTAAATGGTCAAGAATCTCACTGTTATGGAGTAATCTATCTATCAGTAAAATTTACAACAAAATATACGTTAGCAAACATGTTGAATAACAACAAAATAGTTGAATTTGGAACTACTGAATAATGTTACTGTTCAGATAAATTACTATCCTATTCAACTTTTGAATCCGTGAGGGCAACTCATCATCAACGATGATTTCTAACTTCCCAATGACAAATCATCGTCAACAAAATTTTCGTCATGCAAAACAAACTTTTTCAAATATCTCTTTAATTACAACTATTAATTTCTTTGTGTTCATGTTACATTCATCTTCTAAACATTCCTAATATACATATTGAATTTTATGATCTCTTTTCACACTACCTTTTTTTCAGTGAAATTGAAAGTCTTCATTGAATGTCGTCGTGACTGTTCCACCAAATGTAATCATAGTCTGTTTGTTTATTTAGCAAACGAAGTAAGTTATAATTATAAAATTTCAAGTTAACATTTAATCGATTTGTATCTTCCTATATCATATCTAATGCTCTTTGTACACATTTTCTGTGATTTCATCGTTAAACTGTTCTATAGGAAAAAAAAAATTACACAACATATCACTTGAAAATAAACGAATTGTGAATAGAGAAGACGAAAACAATATAAAAATTAAATTTCAGTCTCCTTTTTATTACTTTAGTTTGAAATACAAAGCACCAAACATGTTTTCTCACGAAAGGTGGATAAGAAAAAAAAGCATAACAAATAAAACGTAGTCATTTCTTTGCCCGATATACATGTAAATTTGTAGTTTTTAAACACAGAATACGAATGTTTTATGTTAAATTTGATAGTGTAAAATAATTAACATCATGAATACTAGTTTTATAGTAAAGTACTCTCATGATTCAATGAATTTTACACTGTAGTATTTTGATTTAAATACCTATGTAATGAATCCATTTTACGGATGGAAATATTGATGCTCAGTTAAACATTACATTCAATAGAGAATGTTTTGTTGTGCAGATTTGAAAGTAGGCTTTTAAATTTAGTATCAAACGCTTAATGAGTTGTATTTTTTCCGTTGAATTTAATTACGGTTTAAATAGTTCCAGTTTTTTAACAAGTCATCCGAAAGTATCTAATCAGCATAGATATAGGAAAAAACACCGTTCCAAATTATTATTTATTCAACTGAGATAGTGAAGAAAAGTCACGACTCAAATGGTTGATGTTAGTGAAATTTCTTTTTCTAAGCTAGATGGTCTAATTAGGAAGCTTTCGACATTCTTCTGAATAATGTAAACAGCACAGACATCAAATAGGAATGAGTTATTCGAGTTTTTCCACCAGATGTTATTACAACGGATGATTTCTTGTTTAGTTTTTTGTCTGTGTCACGTGACATCAGACAGAGGTTACAGACTCAGTATTTATGAATGAAATACAACTAGTTTGTTTGAGGAAGGAACGTTTTTTTGAAAATTTCCATCTAGATCTGCAATAAATTGACAAATTTCGGTGCATGAAGACTTTATCCATAAACATAACTAAAACTTGGGTTCCAATATAAACCGCTTGGATTGCATGGTAATATGGATGGCGGACCCGTAAAGGTCAGGTAGTCACCAAGAAACCTGAACCTGACACCTAGCAATGTTACGAGTATGCACTTCTGAGGAGTGTCATTCAACAACTGGCTAGGTTTGTAATTTTCAACCGTATCAAAATCACATTCCAATTGAAACGATTTCCATAAACCTTACTTACTTACTTTACTTACGCCTGCTACCCCCAATGGAGCATAGGCCGCCCACCAGTTTTCTCCAACCAACTCTGTCCTTGGCTTCCCTTTCTAGTTCTTTCCATTTTTTGTTCATTCCTCTCATATCTTTCTCTATTTCACGGCGTAATGTGTTCCTTGGCCTTCCTCTTTTCCTTCGACCTTGAGGATTCAAAAAGAGGGCTTGTCTTGTGACGCAGTTGGGTGCTTTTCTCAGTGTGTGTCCTATCCACTTCCACCGCTTCTTCTTGATTTACTCCTCCACTGGAATCTGATTTGTTCTCTCCTACAGTTGATTATTGCTGATGGTGTCTGGCCAACGAATCCGAAGTATTTTGTGTAGACAACTGTTAATGAATACTTGTACCTTTTGGATGATGGCTTTGGTAGTTCTCCAAGTTTCTACTCCTTACAGTAGAACTGTCTTGACATTTGTATTGAAAATCCTGATTTTGGTGTTGATTGATATTTGTTTGGAGTTCCAGATATTTTTCAACTGTAGAAATGCAGCCCTTGCTTTGCCGATCCGTGCCTTGATTGATTGATTGATGAAGTTAAACCATGTACTTTAAATTGTCCTAAGCATTTAATCAGTATGCAAAGCCACATGAATATGCATTTTTCTAAATTAATAAAGAAGGGTAAATAATATTGCTTTTTTATACTAATTATTTGTTTGGTTTCATTTTGTCTGCTTATAGAATGAATGTTACACTTGTTTGATTGAATGTATGTCCGCTTTCGCGCAACAGGCAGAAAAAGTTGGAGTAAGTTAATTTTGCAAAACTATTAGTATTCATTTAAGATTTGTCTACATATAAATTAATGTAGGACAATAAGTCATAGATAAAACTTAGAGCCCTGGAGTTTTAATGACGAAAATATATAATTCTATGAATTGATTACGATGCATTCTATGATAACTATTATGTTCAAATCAATTACGTCTTCTCACTGTTCTATCAAAAGTTTCGATTTTATGCAGAGAAATACTGACCTCAGAAGCCTTATCTGTTCTAATCGATACGAAGTGAAAGATGTAGAACGAAAAGAAAATATTTATCTACAGTTAGGTATGTGTTTAGAAATAGCATTAATTTATCACGAGCTTAAATGTAATCGGAAACATATTCCGTATATTCTTCACTCAAAAGTAAAAATCGATGGTTTAGTTTATTTGTGACCAATTCAGGTATGCATATAAAAAGATTGACGCAAGCCAATATAATATATCACTAGTGATATTTGAATTACATTATCAAAATACAATAACAAATCTTCGAATAATTAGTTGTGAAAAATCATTTTCAAAGTACTAGTTGATGAAGTTCTTACTGATAAATATAGTTGGACATTACTCGAAAAGCTTGTAGCTGACATAAGCAAACTTTTGTGGAAATTTATTTTCTTTTTTCCAATGAGCTTGGATCATGTTAAAGAAACTTGTATGACGATGTAAATAAAGTCAAAGCTTAATTATTTTGCTGGACATCTGTCATGCTCAAGGCTTCATTACTTGTGTATGAGGGGGTATGAAGGTGCTTATTGAATTCATATATATTTATTAGATAACCTAATAAATATATTATTAGATAACCTTATGGCTGTGAAACATAGCCAGTGAGAGTAGAAGATATTCGTAGGTTACTGGTTTTCGATCAGAGGTGTCTTCGAAGCATTGCACGAGTGAGCAACGCTGTTATTAGGAAACGGGTGCTTGGTAAGAATGGCAGATCAATAGATGAAGTGGTGAAACGTCATCAGTTGAGGTGGTTGGGACATGTGTTGCGTATGCCCAACCACCGACTGCCTCGAAGAGCTTTGTTTTGTAGTGTAGGGATAGGTTGGAAGAAGGTTAGGGGCGGCCAAAACAAAACATGGCAGAAATCCATGAAGTCATTGACGAGTGGACTGAGCCATGTCGATACTGTCGACTACCTGGTTGGGGTCCGGGAGATGATAATAATCGATGGTTAGAGACCTTGAATGACATGGCTCAAAATCGTTCGCAATGGCGCCGGTGCATTTATTCTTTGTGTTCTCTCAAATCCTAATCTTCTGGATTCTTCAACACCTCTAGTTTTGACTCTCTAAACTTTTCTCACTTAATCATACTTCTTGAATAATATTTTCTCATCCTAACCTCTCCGATTACTTCTAATACCCTTACTACATCTTCTACTATTGGATTTGAATTGACAATTACATCTCTGTGCTGATGTGGTATGGCGACATGAACTGATGTACTTACGTACGAAGTTCTACGTTGCAACTGACTGACTGACTGATTAGATAACCTAGGTTAGTTGTATAATAAACAAAATTCTAAACACTAACTATTGCTTGCTTATCCATATGTATATTTATCAATCATCAGAAATAAATCCAAAGTTATAACGTTATTACGTTCTTCTCTTCGTTACAGCGAGAATAAAAGTAGATCTCTTTACTTTTTGTATTATGACTTAGCTCGTAGAAGTAAAACACTTTCAAGGTTTCTAATTTTAATACGAAGCTACATATATAGTACAGTCATTCAGTAGTTCAAAATATGGTGTAGAAATTTATTAATTTAGCTTTATTTTACAAGTATAATATCTTCGACAGTTTTTTATTGAATTTACTTATAGTACTACGTACATAGCATGGATCGTATAGTGGTCTAGAAATTGCCGGATTCAATTAACGCTTGCGCAGTCATGGATGTGCATTGCTGAGGAGTCCCGTTCTATGAAACGAAACGTCTGTACAGTACTTCTAGGTTTTAAGTGGTAGTCAAATAATGGTCGTTTCCCGATTCCAATGAAATTTCTTACACTAACGAATTTCAAATCAATAATTTTAAAGATTTACTTTGATCAAGTTTACTCACTCTGGTTCACTAATTAAGATATCCATTTTCTTCCTTGGTGCAAGCTAAGGAAACGTTTTATTATTCAATGTGTGTTGAGAGTCAACTGTAAAAGATCAATTCCAGGGAATGTCTGTCTATCACTGCTAGGCGACATGACTTTTTCAGTTTAGTGATGCACATTAATTTGTCAAAAATGTTCAGCTACAAAGAGAAGGGGCTAATTTAAGTTTCTTAGTCGTATTTATTAAATTACAACGACTTTAGGCTTACTGGTTATTTTAACTAGGTTCTGAGTGATTGATATTCGTGTATTTTTGCCAATTTCCTATAACACATTTAATATATAACTAAAATACTTAGATTTTATAAACTTACAGATTCAATTGAAAGATATCAAAAAGTCCAATGATGCTAATTTACTATCTGACAGTTTATATGCACCTGGAAAGAAAGTACGACGTCGTCATCTTCGTCAAGATATCATCACACAAGAACAATTTAGAAAAAGATCAGATTGATAACTATGAATTGGTTAAATTATTATTCTTAATATCCATCTAAGTTCAGAAAACTGAAATAGTGACCATAACTTTTAACACTAGATGATTAAATACAAACCAATCATATATTATTGTAACCGTTATAATTACTGAACACTGTTTCTGTAATAATGCTGCAACATACTCCTATTATTTGACTTCATTTCTTCTTTCAATTATACACTTTTATCATTATTTTAGCGATCATTTTTCATTTCAGTGATCATTATTCACAGTCGTTTTTAAAAATTGCTTCGTCCATTTTACTATACATGTTTAACAAATACAATTATAAATCATCAACAATGTATGTTTTTTCTCATTTTAACTTTGAGAGTTCCTGAAGGAAGAGATTTCCAACTACTTTTATTAAAAATTCATCAAAATATTATCTTTGAACAGGGATCTATACTCAGCAGTATCAGTAAAATCGTCGCTGATGTGCAGGAAATGTCTCACTATATTAATGTAAAATTTCAAGCGCTTAGAACAGCTCAAATTGTGTGGTTAAGTGTTTGCTGAATGTACCTTATTGAAACTAAAACATTACATCTAGAGTATGCATTTACTTCCTTACGCTGTGTGAGCATTATGTCATATTATGGTATTTTGAATTTTGAAAGGTTCGTAAGTTTAAATTGAAACTTCACGCGCCACTAATATGCCTTAATAACCTAAACAAAGATCTACTACTACCACGTAGTGGTGTATTGTCCTATAAGGCTTTTAAATATACTATACATCAATGCTCAGTTACCGGGAGTAATATTTGAAGCTATAAGTGTAGGTTGGTTTAAGTGCACCTATTTATGCTGCTAGAATAATGAGCCTATTCCACAACTGTTGACTGGCCATGAGGTGACTACCTAATCTTTAAGATACTGCCTGTCAATCGTGTCATTGTCTATAGTGACTCATTTTATCATGGCAATCTGAAGTATGCTTTCTATGGCTTCTTTAAAGTGTAGTTAGTCTTTGGATATAATAAGTAAGGTAGTGCAAAAAGCCTGTGGTTATACAGAGTGACCACGTCTGTTTGTGCAACCTTGTCCACAATATTCAAACATTTTACTTACCAACATGGACTAATCCGGTGTTGATCATGACATAGCGCAAATGAAATTATTGATACTATCTGTATGAATAGTCAGAAATAGGGTTATTACTACAGAAACTTTGTCCCTCAAACTCACGGTATGTTTCTGGGACATTACCTTGTAGTGGAACGCTTCTACAAAGAAAACGCAATTGGTGATAAGGAAACATTTATTATTGTACTCCTTTTATTTAACTGTACTAAAAACACTTACTTACGAACCACTTTCTGTTTTTCGTTGCTGTCATAATTAATACTTGGTGGCCACAGGTGACTAACTTACTGTCGTATCGTTTGTTAGCAGCAAGTCACAAGCTACGATGGTTTGACCACGCGCTGCGAATGGTCCAGGTCATTCCGACCTATGGCACACGACAGCTAACGATCGACTTGAATAATCCATAAAAGTATCTATGGACGTTCATCCCTGCAGATGTTGCCATAGCAGATCTCGGTATCGATTCCCTACAGCTCTATGAATTGCCGTTCGATTCATGTGGGTTGCAGTAAATCTATACTTCGTCGAGTATCAACTCCCTGGGTTTTAATAAATATGTACCGAATCACCAATATATATTTTGCACTATTATTTATTTCATGAGATATTTGATAACTGCGAAAAGTAACGAAAGCGAGGAGATTCTATCGGTGAATAATTATCTGGAAAGTCACATCGTCACCTGCAGACTCGCAGTCACGGCAAATCCTCACCGACTGGTACTAGACAATTCAGCTTTTGCCAAGAGTGAGTTTGACAGTTTACTTGCTATATGTATTACGTTATCTATCTCACAGTCCTTGAACCTCCTCTCTCCATTCGGTTCGCAAAAATATGGCGTTATTTGGAGACCACACAGCGATGACAGAGCAGCAACGGCAGATATTCAATGTTCCGCCTCTGAACTTGTATACGACACGACATTTCATCTGCCCTGATGATTTTTTAACACCACAGCGAAGCGACGTTATGTATATCAGATAAAGTCCAACGACTATCCGCGTAGATGCAAACACTGCTTCCGGTGTGAACTCGAATATAGCATCCACAGGTCGACCTCCCTAGAGAGTTATTCACCTGTCCGTATATTTTATACGAATGGATTCGGTGCGCAGACTTTTGCAGCAGCCTTATGAAGGATCTTTTTACGTGATCTCTCGTCACGAAAAGACCTTCAAGGTTGGTGGACACAGTTAGCACTGAAAGTGCCCTGCCCGATAAACCGGGATTCAATGCTAGCCCCATTCAACTCACTAGCAGGATTCCAACGTCTCCTTCGGACCCTACGCTAGATACATTAGAGGCTTCTTTCTCACGTCTAAGTCAACAGTGCGCGTCGTCCGCATTATCTACGGATGAGACTCTGGTCTCACGTCCAAATCAACAGACCATGTCGCCCTTGACTTCCGATTAGATTGCAGGCTCACGAGGTACGCGCGAGACTACAGCCTCACGTTCCAGTCACCGCGTACGCCTACCCGTACGAACTGGCGACTAACCACACAATCAGCACTGGATATGGTACAGGACTTTATCCTCATACTACATGCTTGCTAAACCTTTCTCTTTTTCTTTCGTTTTTTATCCTGAGCCTACGTCTACGACCATCGCCCTGTTGGTACCATCAACATCGGTCAGACTTGGAGAAAGCTGAACTGATCTCCCGCGCTCTTGTCAATGTATTCAGTCGATGGTTTGGTTCCGAATGCATCTGGCATACGTGTGGTCTTGAACTTGGTCGTTCTGGTCGTTTCTAGCTCTTTCGCTAAAACTGGTTCCATCCTACGTCTGCAGCGTTTTTTAGGCCGAACCCCTTCGAACACAATCTTCAGATTCTGGATACGAGGCAAGCTGGTATGACACGCCAACCTGAATGACAAACCTGTCACTTTACTACTGGCACGGTTACCCGTAGAAGACTTTCGGTGACAAATAAGGCCTGATCGATCGCCTCCTGTTCGTCAATCCTTCCGTTCTACAATCGCACGTCCGCCGACCTCCTCCCGAAACGAGGCCGCTAAGTGGGGGTTGTTGTGTTACACTTCTAGGAAGAGAAAGAAATTGGTGGAAACACTTACTGTTGTACTCCTTTTGTTTAACTGTACTAATAACACTTAATTACGTACAGTTTTCTGTTGTTGCGTTGCTGTCATAATTAATTACATGTTGATCCCAATATTGACCACTTTCTACTTCAAATATATTCTTTACCCTGGATTTACTTTTTATTACCGTGATGGGCTTGTTATTAGTAATTAGTATTTAGTGGTGATCATACTCAATCTCGACTAAGTCACTACTAAAAACGTTTATTAAATTAATGGATTCAGTAGTTGAAAATGAGGCAGGAAAAGATAGATAAAAGTAATTCAAAGTGGAAAGTTTAGCGAACTGTACGAGGAAGTAAAGGGACGAAGAATTAAGGCATATTTATATTACATTCCAACTTACGTGCTTTTGCTTTGACTCATCACTTTATTGGGTATGGTGAAGCACCTCAATGTTAACTAAGCCTCTTACTGAACCTTAGTAGACAGTTACATACATTCGACTAACTAATTATCTAGATCGGTATAGTGATTTGAATTCTAGAATGAAATAGAGAATTCGAAAATCGATCAACGAACTAAAGTAATGATGAGTTAAGACAAGTAAAACTCAATACTAGAAGTTTTAACAATGTTGGATTTTGTTGGTCTCACTAGCTCAGAGTTTAGGACAATAATCAACGATAATTAACTAAACGCTGCCTGATATCTAATGCAGTACAGATGCTTGGCCAAAATTTAACTCTCTAATCTGATGCATGATAGAACTTCAAATACATTTCGGCTCGTTTACGTCTAAATTAACCAAATCCTTTTAATTACGTGTTTTACAGACAGCGTCTTTAGAACAGCAATAAATTGTTTGTATCACTGTAATTTTAATATTTTTGTGCTTAAATGAACGTGTATGCTTAAGCGTAGCCTACCGTCCATGCACACGTATTAAACTTTAAATCCGCCAAGAGGCACTTTAGTGGTTACTGCCATTCCCAAGACAATGGAGAAGGGTTGAAAATCGGTTTGGCGATACTATACCGCAGAAAACCAACCCACTGAAAATCGCTAAACAGAACAAATAATTTAAATAAGTTTAACTCTGGCCTGACATTTTGAAAGTCTTCAGTTAAACAAGTTATTACGCCTCAAGGTTAAAGCCGAGATTCTTTGGAAGTTACGAGGCCGATAGATCTTCCCACAGCTAGACCAATAATTATATAGTTACATGAAATTTTCAAACAACATGAAAGACCGGAAAATCTGGTCACATCGTCTTGGAAATGATAAGATACAACCTAGTGGAGACTGAAATAAGCGGATTATATCAGACTTTGGATGGACAAAAAGACTACTTTCAAGGGAGGAGGAGATGAATCCTTCACGAATACAAGTGTTTACACTGATACTGTTCACAGCCTCCTTCGAAACAAAGAAATATGAGGTTACAATGACTGACATTCAGTGGCTACCGACAGGAACACTAAAGACGATTATACCAGTTCCAAGAGTGACTGTAGTCGAACATTGATAAGTAACCAGCAAACAGTTTGATTAATCTTATGTGATAGCGCCGGATACTAGGATATCATGGGACTAAATTAACTCGGGAAACGAACGAAAAAGATGAGAGGTTTGCTAACCTCTGTACCTTTACCAATCTGTTCGTAGGTGGTGGCACATTTTTACACAAACAGATACACAAAGCACATGCGTTTCACCGGATCGGACTACACAGAGGAGTCTTGGACACTACGGTGTGCCTGAGAAGGTAGTCAACATTATGCTGAAATCCCACGATGGAGTCAACTGAGAAATCTTGTACGCAAGATGGCTCACATGT